AGGTTTTGATATATTTATAACTCTATTGAAAACTAATTATATTATTAGAATACAACTAACATTCTCTATATCAAAATTTATACACAACTTTTCTTTTTAAATTTTTATTTTTATATTAGTAAAATTAAGGAATTCTTAATATTGGTAGTACTGAATATCTCAAATGAATTCTTGATACATTCGTTTTTTTTCAAAGATAGCAATAAGCTGTTTAGTGAATCTAAATCTTAAGGAGTTTCATAATATATCAATTTCTAAAAGTGATTCATTACTAATAAATTTTTGTTATAATAAAAAGAAGTATTTATACTAGGTAATTATATGATTATTTTATTTTAATTGGAGAAAATGTAAATAGTTGGCTCTTTATATTATTAGATAATCCACAAATCCTTAGATAGTATAGATAATTATTTATTTCAGTTGTTCTTAAATACAATCTTTATTATAATAAAATACTTGTTATGATACAAAAAAAGCTAATATCAAAAAAAAATATTATTAACTAAAGAATTATATAACTTAAAATAAAGAAAATTTATTAAGTTAATATAATAATTATAAAAAAATAATAATAAATTTTTATAATAATATAAGAAAGAAAATTTTATATTATTAAATAAAAAAATTTTTAAAATTATAATTAAAAATAAATAAATTAAAAAAAGTTAACAAAAATTTATAATATGATATTAAAAATATATTTAAAATTATATATAAATAAATTATAAAAAATATTAAAATTTAAACTTTTAATCTATAATTTGAACTTTAAATGTTTTACATTAATAAACTATAAATAATGATTTTTTTGTCATAAGAATTGTTCTAGCTATAAAAGATGCAAAATATTATTTCTTATATTATATATTATATAAAGAATAATAACCCCAATAAAAAATAAGTAACAATTAAATTTATAAATACTTTAAATATTTATATAATAAGACATGACATACCATGTTTAAAACTTAATATAATTATATACGATTTATTTAATTAAAATTAAAGAAAAAAACCTAAATCCGTGTAGCAAGTTTCTTAATAATTAACAAATTTAAAATAAATAAATTTAACTTGAATAAAAAATTGATTTTACAATATATATACAAATAATGTAATTAAATAATATATTATTCTCCATAATTTATCTATATACAATTTTTTTATATTATCAATATTCTCATTTTCGTTCTATTTAATAAAAAAAATCATCAGGTGTATTTGTAAAATATGCTTTTATATTAAACCATTTCGATACAAAATATGTATTAATAAACAACCTAAATTTCACACTCCTAAAATCACTATACAATAAGTGTATAATATGCCAAAAGAAATTACTGGTTAATAAATTTAAAAACAATATTTCCCTGAACTGAACACGAAGTTGTTACAACTTACCACAAAAGGTATTTTACATTGTTTCGTCTTGATAGGATTGCGATCATCTCCTATATTTGACGTTCAAAGTACTCCAAAGCTTATGACTGACTAGGACTCGAATCCTCCAGCTCATCTTCGCTAGATTCTTCGAAGTCCTGATTTGAATGTGAATCGTCATCATCATCAGAGAAATATTCCTCTGTTTCGCGAAATCTAGAAATGCAAGTTTTTAATGTTTTTAATAAGAATCAATAATTCCAAAAAGATCTAAAAAATAACTTACGTTTTCCAAACATCAGAATCATTTTGAACTTTCATTTGATTCGTCAAAAATTTCAATCGCATTTCCTACGAATTAAGATTAAATTAAATTAACCAACTTATAAATGTAATATGGTAATACAAAACAAACCTCTTCTATTTGCTTCTGCCGCTTTTGCAGTTGAATACTTTCTTCCAATGACAAAGCATTGATTCTGCTTGGTTTTTGATATTTATTATGGTTGATAGGCTGTTTATCGTCATTATTGTCGAGGATTGCCATTTTTTCAAATTCGTCTTCTAAGCTACCTATGGTTTTTGGTGAGGTTTTTGATGCTGAGTTGCATCTTTCTTCAAGAATTTTTAATATTTGCTTGTTGTTTTCAATGAACTTTTTTCCATGATCTGGTAACTTTAAAATTAGCTCACTGAAGAAAAAAATTTAAAAAGTATGATTAGTAATCAAATTTAAATAACCTCTAATTGAATATATTGTATCAATAAATATTACTCGTTTTCAAGAAATTTTTTATTCTTTTCCAATCGTTGTTGTAACTCTTTTACGGACAATTGTGATAATTCTTTTGTGTGATCTCTGTTGTTTGGGATAAATATACTTTTCTTTGTTGGTGTCGTTGACTTAAAAGACAGAGTGGGCGGAGTTTCTATATTAAAATAAGTAAGATATGTAAAGATATTTTACTAATATTAAACGAATGAAAGTTACCTCTATGTGGTAACGGCATTGTCGAATGATAAGATATCTGGTTTTCCTAGAATCATTGGATACAGACGGGTATCATCGCATTTAGGGCGATTTTTATAAGGCCGAAAATTATCGATCACTGCATGACCTTTTTTTTAGTTACTTCTTTTATAAGTATCATTTTGAATTTTGCAAAGGGATTGTAAAAAAATTCACCAAAGTAAGGGTGAGATTTTCAAATATGATTTGGAATTCTTTGTTTTGAAATATATGCATCATAATTTTAATAAAGCTTTTTGAGGCTTTAATTCATTCCATTGCTTTAACTAACATTTCTAAGCTAATAGTATTATAAGCTTTGATCAATGTTCTAAAAAAATATCCACAGTTCTTTTTTGTTTTCTCTAGCATCTTCACAGATATTGTTAAGAATCTGGATCAGTTTTGCTGTACTTTCTCCTGGTACTCTATATAATTGGATTCTCTAAGGATATTGTTGACTTTATAAATTTTTCTATTCATTTGATAAGAATTTTAATGAAACATTTTCTTGTAACCTCTAATAGGACAATAGATCTAGTGTTTGAGAGTTTACAACTTTATGGCTTTGGTTTAGCTATTAAATATATATAATTTTGTTTTCAATAAATTGAAATAGTTTTTTATTTCAAAAAGTTGTTAAGTATTCTTCTTAAGAATTTCTTTTCTTTTGACTTAATTTTTAAGTATTTTATAACTAATTTGTGATTTGTCTAGAGCTTTGTTATTTGAAAGTGTATGTAATTTTTCATTTAATTTTTCTTGAAAGATTGATTCAAGTAATTCTTTATATCAAGTTTCTTGTATAAATTCTTTAGGTCTATACCTATCTTTTTAATTCTTTGGTAAACTATTATAACTAGTATTTCTAATTTCTTTTTTATTTTACTTTTTTGTATTATAATATATTCAATATCATTTCTTTTGATCATATCAAATACAATCTTGCTTTTAACTCAATTTATTAGGAAGTTAATCATTCTTCTTTTGTTATATTATAGGTCTTCATACTTTTATTCTAGGGTTGTTTTGATTACATCTCTTATCTTTTTTATTTTCAACCTTACTCTTCTATCATGTCTTGAATATTTTTTTTTAAAGTTTTTCAGAGTATATTGAAAATATTGTATTGAACACAGATGTTTTTAATCTAGTAATTAGATTTGCGAATAGTATTATATTTTTATATAGCCAAGTTAAAAGTCTGTAAATTGATTATACTGTATTTTTTGATATTTTTGTCTTATTAAAAAGTTTTTTTAGTTATAAGGTTTTTTATATTCAACAAACTTGAAATTGTACTTATATTTTTTTTCTTTATTTGAAGCTATATTTTTAATTGTAAGTTTGTTAAAAATTGTTTAATATAGTAGTTTTTCAATAGTTTTTCAAAATCTATTTATCTAGACTTCTCTTTCCTCTTGATTAGATTTTTCTTGAAGCAAGAGTTCAAATATTGTTCTGAACTTGTAATTCAAACTTTTTTTGATATATTTGCTATTATAAAGGTAATAATCCCTTTATATCTATTCATTTCTAAGTATTTGTGAAAAATTTATTAACTTAACTTCTTGTAAACAAGTTTTTGTTATATAGTATAACTACAAGTATAGTATGATTACTTTTTATAATATTTTTTGTCTTGATTATTAAATCAAAATAAGGGATAACTTATTAGATTATATGATATTCAAATATAATCTATTTTACTATTACTTGTTAAGTCCTATTTTATAGAAGTTTTGTTTCTATTTTCTCATATAACTTGTATATTTATAAATTTTCATTAATTCAGAAAGTTGAATAAGGAAATTTTTAGAAATCATAATAGTTTAATTATGACTTTGGAAGAAAATTATTTGTTTTTTAATGAATTATAAGTTGTATTGAAGTCTTTTATACAAATTGTAAAATAATCTTGCCTGTACTTTTTTTAATAAGACTTATTAATTTCTTTTATACTTTTTTGCTTCTTTTTTATCAAAGGAAATATAAATTTATATAATATAGATTTTTTTTTATTTTATAAGCAAGTTGCCAACAACTATATATCTACTTTCTTCTTTTATTAATGTTATTTTTTTTTCAGATTTTTCCTGATTAAAAAATTAACCCCTGTTTCAAATAGTGTTTTATTATTGATACTATGAAAATACTTATAGACTTTTTAATTGTTAAAGCTTTATTATATATTGGTTTGAGTTAATTTTGATTTGCATAATTCTAGTATACCTATTTTCTATTCTTGTATTTTCTTAATAAGACTCTATTAATTTGTCTTATCTATAATAACTCTAATATTATATATACCTATTATTACTACTCTATTAAAAATCTTATTCTCATTGTTATTTGCTTCTATTAATTTATTTTAAGCTTTTCTACTTAAAAATGTTTATTATTTTTATATAAAAATATTATTATATTTAAATTATTATTATATTTATTATATTATATTGTTATATTTATTTGATTATTTCTTGTTCTTATTCACTATGATTGTTAAGAAGATATTGAACTCATACTTCTTATAATTGTCATATACAACTGATATATCCTTAGAAGTAATTTGCTTCTTTATTTCCATATTTAGATTTATTAAAAGTTAATTATTTTTCTAATCTATGATTCTATTATTTAATTTCTTAAAATTTGCTATAATATAATTTAGAATATCTTATAAATCTTTTACTTCTGCTTTTGACTTATTTCTTGTATTTCTATAGTAACTTTATATTTGATTTATTGATTCCTTATTGCTTCCCATTGCAAAATATCTACTAGATCTATTGATTTCTTTTCTTATTCTTTTGCTATAGTAATATTTAATTTGTTTTTTATTTGTTTGGTTCTAATTTTTATTAAAAATAGAGATATATTTTATGGATTTAGTATGTCTAAAGCTATATTCTTATCTATTTATATTATTCTATATCTATATCTTATATCTGAACTTTTGATTACTCTTTTAAATTTTTTTTTTCTAAATTAATAAAATATTTGATATTTTAAGAAAAATATAATTTCTATAAGAAAATTTATTACTTGCATATATTATTTCTATTTTTTTTTGTTTAAAATAGACTACTGTAAAGTTTTATTTTCTAAGTGTAAAAAAATCTTTAAATATATAGTATACTTTAATTAAAGTATTATTTAATGTTCTAGTTATCAGACTAGTATATGTTTTGTTTGTAGCTAGAAGTCTTACTGAATTATAGTTTCTCTTAATCAAGATCATTGATTTCTTTATTATTTAATTTCAATTTTGAGAATATTACTCTTAATATTTTTATATTAATTGGAGTTATCCATTTTACTTCTGTATTGAAATTAAGTATTTGCGTTATTTGATATATGTCTTAAGTTTAGGTTTAGTATTTATTTTATAAATATGAATATTTTAAAGACCTGTGGGTCTATAGCACAGTGGTAGTGCTCCCAGGTTACAATCATAGGATCCATAGTTCTTTATCATATGAGGGCCATGTGAAAAATTTATGGAATGAAAAAACTGTCTATTATAAAAACACAACTAGGTCTAAGAAAACACTAATCATCTCTATTCTGGTTTTATACAAACAGGGTTTTCCCACTTCCAGTTCTAAGCAAGTTTTTCTCTCTATAAAAGGTACAATCAACATGGCTGAACATAAACAAATCTGGAAAAGGTACCAAAATCGGTAACAATGCCATGTTTATCAAAACCATTTGAAAGGTGTATTTCTCTTTTCACGGAATTAGCAAGTCAAATCTGGCAAATTAGTTGGTAGGAATTCAAAAGAATTGAGGATCCAAAAATAGGGGTGTCTATATTTTTTAGATAGGTAGTAGTAGAAATTTAATCCAACTGAATATTTCCAGGCAACAAGCTATCTGATGGATCCTTTAAAAGTAGGGTTCTAGAAATGTTTATCAACATAAATGATAAATATATGTATTCCCTGCAATTAAATTTGTAAATTACTTTATCAAGTTAATAAATGAGACTAAGCTTCCATTCCACAAAAAATATATAAATATTTTAAATCTCTTTATATCTTTTTAGGTATTCAAATATATAGTGTTTGCTAACTTTTTAATCCATATCAATCAAACAAATATCCTATATAGAAATATTTTCTTTAGTATTGATTTCTCAGAAAATTTTTTATCTAGATCTTTTCTAGTTTTGTATATATTATTCAAGACTTATGAAGTTATTTATTGAATAGTAAAGTTATCCTCTTTTCAATTTATTTTCTCTATATATTTTAAAATATTTTTTTCTTCTTGAATTCAAAAAATTGACCATTTATTTCTATTAATAAATTTTTTTTCAAGAGATTCTCTTTTTTTATAACAATTTTAGTATATTGTTTAAGTAAGTTTTAATTTTTTTTTCAAATTCTCCTAAAATATTAGCAGTTATTATTTCAAATTATAGTTTTCTTTTTTTTTATAAAATATAAATTTGTTGGTAGAACTAGTTTTCAATTTCTAGTAGCATATAAGCTATATTTATTTATACAATAGCTTTTAATTTTTTCTTAAAGCCT